AAAAAAAAAAAAAAAAAAAAAAAAAAAAAAAGAAAGAAAAGTAACTTATAATTTTGTGCTATAATCTATTAAGACTCAAGATAAATAGATTAGATATACTTTTTATGCTTCTCCACAACTCAGTGATATTCTTTTACAATACAGAATGGATGTGTTTGGGACACTGATACTAAATAGGAAGGAAGTGCCAAAAGATCTGCAGAAGGAAAAACCAAAAAGGGGAGAAATGTTAGCATACAGAGCAGAAAAGTCTGCATTATAAAGTGGAAAGACAAAAATGACATCTCCTTATTGTCAACTATTCATAATACAGAAATGACAGAACCTGAAAGAAGAAACAAAACTAAAAAATCCCAGTGGTGGTCAGTGGTTATAATAACTGTATGGGTGGTATTGACAGAGCTGACCAACATCTAATGAGCCATCCTATAATCAAAGAGCAAAGAAAAAATATTAGTATAAAATATTTATTCACCTTCTGATATGGAACATGTTATTTATTCAAAACAAGATGGTTCAAAAAGTCACTTACAATTTGAATTATGTCTAATAGACCAAATAATTGAAAAGTTTGAGATAGCAAAGCACCGACCAGGAGTCCATCATGGACATATTTGCCATTACTTTTATTGGGTAGAAATTTCATTGAAATTATACCACCCACAGAAAAAAAGAAAGGCCAACACAGCAGTGTGTTGTTCAAAGAAAGACAATAATGCAAAAAAGAATTCAAAAAGGGACTAGACACTACTATCCAAACTGTAATGCTGTGTTATGTAGTGAATATTTTAAGATATACCATACACAGAAAAATTATTGAGTACATTTGATAAAGTTGTCATTTTTATATTTCCTGCTAAAAATTAATGAAAAATATGGAAATTTTGGTCATCCTATATTTAGGCTTACATTTTCAGCCAGTTCAGGGTCATCTGGCTTCAAAGCAAGCACATTATGGTGAGGGATATGGTGGAGCAGAGCCACTTAGTTCATGGTGGCTGGGAAGAAGAACAGGGAAACAGTGCCAGAGAGAAGGGATGAAGGACCAGACACAGACCCCAACATCACTCTTCCACAACCCAGCCAGACACACCCAGAAGTGTGTTCCACCAATCCCTGGGACAGATCCCAAAGCCAATATACATTGACACATCCCACTTCTTGTCAATTTGTAACCCAAACACATCTTAAACCATACTTAATCTTTAAATAAAGATAATACCCACTTTGTAATTCCACCTAACATAATACAGTTCTGCTGCATATAACCAGAAATACAACAGTTCCTTCTCCAAAGTCCCAACAGTTTCAGTTTCAAAAGTCAGAGTGAAAGTCTCTTTTGAGACTCAAGGAAAACTCTTAGTTGTTAATATCTGTGAAAATCAAAAGCAAATTAAAGTAATACCTTGGGTGACAAATGCATCTGTTTGTGAACAATTTAGTTAGCAAATAGAAGTTTTCAGCAAAATTTTGCATCCATTTGCTGCGAACTCCATACCAGGTGATAAGCACGACTGTGGCCATCTTTCTCACATGAATAAAAATGCACCCAATCTTCCCCAGAATCATGGGATGAATTAAGTGTGTGAACCAGTGTACCACTGAACTTAATCCTCAGGTACTATAGGACATGGTAAATATTCTCATTTCAAAAGGGAGGGAGAAGGGGATAGAAAAAAAGGACCAAGGCAAGGCTAAAAACTCAGCAAGACAAACATTAAGTCCTGTAGCTCCATATCTAGGATCTGAAGAGCTTGGGTACCTCATTGCTGTGGTCTTGCTGGTTGCAACCCACACAGCCTCTTTTAGGCTGGCTGCACTCACAGCCTACAACTTTCCTTGGCCAGTGTTTTACATTCCTGGCATCTCTGACTTCCTGGGGTCTCCACTGTACCTTCAGCTTCATTCTCACTCAGCCCTCAGAGGAGCTCCTTGCTTGGCTTTTCAGACTTTCCTATGAAGTCTCTATGATCCTACAATTCCTGCATTCTGCATGCTGATAAAACTAACATCATATGGATAATATCAAGGTCTGTTACTAGCTTGTGCAATAGCCAGGACCCTTTATACCTTGGCTGCTACAGCCTCTGAGTATTTGAATGCCTGAGCATGGTGAAATGAATCCTGTGTAACTAATTCCTTAGGAGGTCTTTCTTGAGGAAGTACCACAGGGATTTTTCTTTTTACACTTTTGCATCCTTGAGCCTGCAATACAGGGGGTCTTCCTGATTCCTAAGATGCATCTTCTTGTCCCTGTACAAAATAGCTGATTTTTTTTTTTTGAATGGTGCTAATCTCTCCCGCAACCCCACCTCTTTGGGTCCAAACTTCACATGCAGTTCTCTGGGCCAAAATTTAGGTCTTCCAAATTTTTTTCTGCTCTACTTTTTGCTCCAGAGTGTCACATAAATCTGGCTAAAAGAAGCTAGCAGAACCTATGCCTTAACCTCAATGTTGGGCTGTCTTACTGTTTTCTCTGCCAGATTAATTAATCCACTTCTTTTAATATCAAGTCTCCTGCTAAGTCTCAGGACATGAAGAAAATGCAGACAAATTCTCTTCCAGAGTGTTAGATACGTGGCTTCTAGTCCAACTGCCAGTGGAGTCCCTGTTTCCACTTTCTATTGAGCCTGACCTTTACTGTCTGCATTCCTGTAAGCATCTGGTTTTCTGAGCTCCAACCAGAACCCTCACCAGGCTCTGCTTCAGTATTCTCTGGCTTCTCTAGTCTGCTTCTCCAAATCTTTCCAACCTCCTCCAGTAAATTAGTTCCAAAGGCTTCTAAACAAAGTGGTCAGGTACAGTCATGGCAGTGATCTTACTTCTCAGGTACTTTTTCTGCATTAGTTTTTTTTTTTTTTAATCACTGGGATACAATACCTAATACCCAAAACTTATTTGGCTCAAAATTTCAGGTTTTTAGTCGAGGGTTGGCTGGCTCGCTCCATGGCAGGAACCTCATGGAGGAAGGGCATGTTGGAACAAAACTGTTTAGTGCATGTTACCTGGGAAGCAGAGCAAGGGAATAGACTCAGGGAGGAAGAGGTGAGGGACCAGACATAGACCCCAAAGCCACGCCTCCATTACCCACGCAGACGCACCCAGAAGTGTGCTTCACCAGTCTCCAGGACAGAACCCAAAGCCAGTCTATATTGAAACTTCCCCAACAACCACAACATGCATATCCCTTTTGATATTTGAATCCTGCCAAACATTTCTAATTACAGCTGCCAATATTTACTTTCGTCCCCTATGATAACATGTTAGCTCCAGCCATATATTTTTTGTTTCCCTGAAAAATACTATATTCTCATGTTTCTATGCCTTTATGCACGTAGAACATTTTTGCCTGAAATGTCTATTCTTTTTTTGTGCTCTTTGCAGATTTACTGTTAAAGGCTCTTTTCAAATACCACATTTCCATGGAAGGGATACCTGCAACCAAACTCTTTCTTTCTTGTGCTTCTTATACATTCTTGCGATGTACCACTCATCACATTATATTGTAGCTATGTTATGTAATATTTTTCTTGTTAGATAATGAAGTTGGGGATTTACAGTGCTTTATTATCATCTTTAATTAATGTTTATTGAATAAGTAATAAATGAAAACTTCCTACTTATGGTTTGTTGGTTTATTAGCTAGTATATTCTTACCAAGTTCCAAGGTCATGCATTCTACTCTCATGTGATGGCCTTGTTTCTGCATATGTGTGTGTTTCTGTGTGTGTGTGTGTGCATGCATGTGTGTTTAAAGATGGACTTTAAGCTGGGCATGGTGGTGAATGCCTGTAGTCCCAGCACTCTGGAGGCTGAGGCAGAGTCACCATGAGTTCAAGGGCAGCCTGGACTACCAGGTGATTTCAAGGCCAGCTTGGACTACATAGAGAGACTATGTCTCCAAAAAGGACTTTGAAACCATTAGCAGAATCCCTTGCTTTTATGAAATATTTACAGTGAATCTTGTGTTTATGTTTCTCATGTAAAGGATCTAAAAAAAGCAGCTTCAGACTTGATTAAGGCCAAGGTCATATGTCAATATAAGATGCGAGAAGAAAATGCCAATCTAACAATTAAAGAACAAAAATTTGAAGAACTTCAAGAAAGACTCAATATGGTATTTGCTTAAATGCATTCAGATTTATATTAATATTTTTAAAGAATTTATAGGCATTTTATGATTATAACACAAAATGTGCCTTCATTGTAGATTATACACGTAGTATACACAGTACAAATATTAATTTAATATCATAGTAATATACATTAGTTACTAATGTATGTAGTTGCTGATATATGTAGTTATATGTAGTATAATATAGAGTTAATATACATAGCAATACATATTACTATCTAATATATGTCCTAAAAAGCTAAAGTATTATGAATTTATTTTTAACAATTAGGTAATTTTTTCCATTAGCAATGGGAAATTTGTAATTTTAACACTGTTGGGTCCTGTACCTTGTTCAGTTCACTGTCACCACTGTTACAACACAAATAGATGTGGGTACTGTGAAGTAATAATAGATCATGACACCCAAACTGTTGAGCACTGAATTGTAGAATTTGGTAAATTTTATATCACAAATTTCAAATTATTCAAATTTTTAAGGAATTGGAACTAAATAAGAAGATTAATGAAGAGATTATCCACATTCAAGAAGAGAAACACGTAAGCAATCGTCAGATACTTTGGAAGCCAGTACATATTTTTAAAAGTCAGCTATATAGTATGGGAATTAAGTAAGTTAAATAACAAATGAAATCCATGTCTACTTAGGCCAGCACGAGGCATGCAGTAAGTAATGGACATTAAGTGGACATAGGTATACTTTTTAACTAGCCCCTTAAATACTTTCATTTGTAGAAAATCTGCTTTCCTTTGTTTAGACCAGTGGTACCCTAGAAGATTAATTATTAAAGAGTATGTATACATCAGGCATGCCTGTTTAAGGGTGCTGTTTTCCATGTTCATCTGTTTGATGTTTACAATTGTCGTGTCTTTTAAAAAGTGTATGAAAGAGAGCTCCTTTCTCTTCCACTTTTCTTCCATTTGTTTCATGATATCTTGTCCATTGTAACATTTTATAATAGTATAGCCCACACGACATTCAGTAGAAATATATTTGCAATCTGGTGGGTGACAAGCCAGCAAAAGTTTATTTTAGTTTTGAATCCTTTACATTTTAAATAATGTCTTTGAATCTTAGAATTTAAAAAAGCAGTTAAAGGGCTGGTGATTTAGCTCAGCAGTTCGGTGGCCTGCCTTGCAAGTGCAAGGACCTGAGTTCAATCCCTGGTACCAAAAAAATTAAAAAATTAAAAAAAATTAAAAAGCAGTTAATATTTAGGTGACTATTGGAAATAGTATTTGTAGTGGAGATTCTTTTATATATCAAACTGTAAAATTTGTACCATTAGTTTAATATAAATTATTGAAATTAAACTATAAAGATAATGGGTGGAGAAACTAGAAAATATATGAAGAATGAATTTAGAAACATCCTATGGTCTTGCCATTGTTACAGTTGATACGTGCTATCTATATCTTTTTAAAGGAGATCATCACTTCTTTTCAACATATGCAGCAGTTACTTCAACAACAAATTCAAGCCAATACTGAAATGGACGCAGAATTGAAAATGCTAAAAGAAAACAATCAGGTTTTCTATACATTATTTTATTATGTTTCTGTCTAGCGAGCTTCCCCTTTGTAGGTGCATATATGCATCCAGTTTTATCAGGGCCATTTGAGCTTTGGAGTAAGGTAATGGACTCTTTCATCAGTGTCCCAAGTAATGAATGTAGTTTTTAACATTTAGGTAACTAGTTAAAATATTAAACTTTATCAAGTATCTGACTTCATTTTATGACAGAATGAATGGGGGTTTTTGTGTGCCTTGGGATTGTCTCCAACATGTAAAACTAAAACAGGAGATGAAAATGTCAGCCACATCTTTAGAGTAGTTAGCCAGCTTTAGAAGTTGGGGCCAGCTCTGTCTTCCCAGGGATGTAATAGAACTGCCATTGTTGCTGCAGTGACTCCTTATCCTCTCACTAGTATTCATAAGAAATGATAGGGGAGGAAAAGACAGGATGTCACTGATATTTTGAGCGTGCCAGGTTAAGAAAGAGGAGCTGGCGGAGGGGGAAGAAGCTGAGTCTACAGGAAAATCCCTTGTAAGACTGAGGCGTGGGAGGTGCAGGCTGCTGCCCATCCCTTGGATGGATGCGTGAGATGCCATAGTAAACGGGAGGTCTACTCAGTGATACCAGTAGAGCACATGTGGGACGTTCACATGGAGGAGCTTGCGTGTTTCTTTAGGTTTGGAAGCTAAGCTAGAAATGTCAAGGAGGATCGTTGAGTAGTAAGGCTTGAAGGGCTTGCTTCAGCACAGATGGCCCTGGAAGGGTACACAAGACAGAACCTCAATGGGTCTGGGCTCCATATGAAGGAACACAGACTAGTGGCAGGGCAGGAACTCCATGGGTGCCACAGGGCCCGGGTCTGGGAGGTCCCTCTCAGAAAGACCTGGGGCATATGCAGTAGAGTGGCCACTGGAAGATATTTTTGCCTCCCTGAGGGGTTCTTGGAAGCAGAGGAGACAGGACAAAGTTGAACATTTCCCATGAAAGCTACAGCCCCAGTGCTTCAGTTTGGTTAGATCGGCCATACTAAAACCACAACTTTTAAATTACCTCTTCATGAGCTCTAAGTCCAGTGCTTATGTATTGAATTTTACAGAGCCCAACATAGCCATAAATATATAGTTATGCTTTTCTCTGAGTTAACAATGGTTATGAATATGGTCCTAGGTTCTTTTTAACCATGACTACCAAAAATCTTATACACTTCAAATGCCTTTCTCTTTAATTATCACATTATCACCTGTCCTTTGATAGTACATAGAGAAACTAGATTTCATGCAGTAACATTTCAAGGTACCATCAAAAATAGGATTGTCAGTTTCTTATTTGGATAAATAAGGACATTAAAATATCATCTATCATTGCTATAATTTTATAAAAGAACAAAATATATTAAGGATATAATCTCAGGATAAGACAGTGCTTTATAAGAAAAGCCATTTGTTGACCTTATATTGACATTTTTTTGCCGCAGACCAGTGGGAATCTTGTCATGGATGAGTACTTGTCTGCAGCCTGGTGTCTGAGAGTCCTGATACATAGCAGAATGTGAGTGTTGTGCTGCTGCTAAGGACTGGCTGCACGGTAGGGCAGTGTCTCCTGAGGGGCCTTCCAACCCCACCTGTGCTCAAAGTGCCGTCACTCTTGGTAATGGCCGGCTGTGTCCTCGCTGCTCTGCAGTCACACTGTCATCGACCTTTTCAGTAGTAAAGTTTAGATCACAGAGACTAAATTCTCACGATAGGAAATATGTTCTACTGTGATTTAAACATAGTTACAAGCATAATCATCTTCCTACAGTTACAGTATTAAGAATAAAAATTTACTTAGCTGATTCCTGTAGTTGTCATAGTAATACCGCACAGTTTACTCAGTCTTTTGTAGGTTGAAACACAAGCAGATGGTTTTATTTTGACCTTCCACATATCCTTTTTTTTTCACAGATGGATTTTAGCTTTGTTAATTCAATTGCAAACAGTACCAAATAATTTACTGGTAGAATGTAATCTCTATGAGGACAGAAACATTTTCACTCATGTAGTGTAAGAAAATAAAATAGTGCCCTGCACACAGTGGGAGCATGAAAGTTTTATTAAGGGAATGAATGATGAACTCTTCCCAAGTTCAGACAGGGCCTGGCAAGTACTCTGGTAATAAATGGAATCCATCCACATCCACCTCTCCCTCCTCCCGAAACTGCAATAAAATGACATTAAATTCATTTTGACAACAAGTTCACAATGACAAGGAAATGAGAGAGAAACAATAAAAATACAGTTTTAAAAGTGGGAACCAGATGGGCAGTTGGTAATTTATTTTGCACATAAAAGAAAATAGAAACATGATTCAAACATGCAGAAATGAGGGCTAGGAACGTGGCTCAGTGATATAACACTTGCCTAACATATGTAAGACCTTGGGTTTAATCCCCAGCACAGCACAGCATGACACAACACGACAAAACTAAGAACCAAACCATCAGAGAGTCAGGAATTGCTACCATGAGTCCCTAGCGGGGTTTGCAGTTGAAACCCCAGACTAGAAGGTCCATCTGGGAGGCCAATGCAACCTGCTTGTCTTCCCTGCCCTGTACCAGTAGGCCCTGCCCCCTCCTCCTAGGCAGAAGGCAGGAGGTTTATGTAGGGAGTTTGAGAGCCTGAAGTTGGGAGACACCGGATCTGTGGGATGTGCGGAGATAGCTTGCAGCGGGGTGAGCTGGCTGCTAGAGACCAAGGAAGCTTGCGACTTGGCTGTGACACAGTCTGGGCCTGAAATTGACCTGCGGGGAATATTCAGCATGAAGGAAAATGACAAATAGTAAAACTGGGCTTTTAAAACAAATTCTTTTTTTGTTGTTGTTTTTTAAGAGCCAGTTCACCGGAACATTATTGGGAGTATTATATTGAAAATAGAGCAGAGTCTAATACTGGATGGTGAGACCTTCCCCACTTAGAAGGTTGTTAGCCTAACTCCTAGGGAGGAAAATGCAAGATTCCTTTCTGGGAAAATGAGACTACTCAAGAGAAAAGTTGATAGCTGTTGCAGTTAAGCCCCAAGTTAAATAGTTCAGCCAGAACCCATAGTGAGACCCACCACTGGACAGAGCTTCCAACCAGCCTTTTAATACTGCATTCTTAGATATGGATAGGGAGCTAAGGACAGCCAGACATTTGAAGGAAGCCCCCAATATGAAAACAGGCCAAAGAGACAAAGTAATGAAAATGCATGTAGACATAAGAAAATATACTTAAAAGAAGTCTTATTAATCCAAAAAGCAAGAATTAGGACTTTATAATAAAGTAGGAGATGGCCCTTAAAATAAATATATTACCAGTCATAAACAGCAGTGGAAAGGTTGGGAGATAATGTTGGGATAGTCTTCTAGGAAGCAGAACCAAAAGACAAGAAGGCAGAAAACAAGGGGTTAGTCCAGGGGGTCCGGCGCACTTCCAAGGGAGAAGAGAGGAGAGAGAGTGATAAAGAAGGAGCGAAGGAAGAACAGAGCTTCTCCAGGCCTGGGTTTCTCTTGTCCAGTACCAACGTATATTTTTATGAAACTGCTGCACCTCAGAGATGATGTTAAAACTGCAGAAAGAAGTAGACCTCACACAAAGAATCAGGGATGAGGCAGTAACACATTGTGTTCAGACTTCCCGGTGGCAACACTGGAAAGGAGAGACTAGGATCTGCCTGTAGGGGTGAAACAGAAGTTCGACCTGCCCGGAAAGGGGAGTAAGCCAAGAAAGACTGTAGGAACTGTAGGATCTAGAAACAGGAGACTCGTGACAGAAGAGGGGAGGCAATCCTTATAGTCTTATTTGTGAAGCGGACAGAAATGGATCTACCTGGGAATGAAAGGTGGGAAGTTTCCAGAAAAAACTAAAACAGAATTCTTGTAGGAAGCAGTTTCTTTTAGGAAGGGTTTAGGCCAGGAGAGGAAATGATTGACCTATCTAGTACAATGTTTTAAGAGCTTGATGCTCTTGGTCATTTAGTATTATAGTGCTAGAGAGTAACCAGGTATGGTGGCACATGTCTGTAGTCACAGCATGTGGGAGGCTGAGGCAGGAGGATCGCCATGAGTTCGTGGTCAGCTGGGCTACATAGAAGATCCCATCTCCCCCTACAAAAAGAATTACTAGAACAGGGCCTGTGGTATGTTGGTATGTTCTCCCTTTCTTCCCTACACTTTGCTTTGTCTGTCTTATAAAGTCCATTATGTTGTCAATATAGATACTGTAGTTAAAAGTACCGAGCATCTATTAATTATACACGACTGTGGACATTTAGAAATCATCCTAGAATTACAGGTAACCATAAATTAAAGGGTGATGTCTTGTTTAAAAACACTTCCATCACCCTAAGGAGGCAGTCAGAACAGGGCTTCGTCAGGGTTTTCCCAGCTCTCATGGGACAGAGGAGCAGCACTGTGCTACAGGTTGTAAATGTTTTTCATTAGGTAAGTTGCCATAATTTTGTATAACTGTGTATTTGCATATTGATATTCTAGATGTAACTGAGAATTCCTTAAATAGAATATTATGAAGCCTTTAAAATGAGATGGACACACACACATATATAATACAGAATGTAAGCGAGGTATTTTTTAAAAAGTGGTTTGCAGAATGATGAGATGTGTCTCACCTGAATTTAAAAACATATCTTTTATTGTCCCCATATGCTTACAGGGCATTTCTATAATTACACAAGAAACTGTGAAAGTGATTATTTTTGGGGAGGAGAAGTGACCCAGGATAATTTTGCCTTGTCTTTTTATATCCTGTGTGGCTTGAAATTTTTACCTTGACTGTTTATAGCTTTAGTGATGAATTTAAGTTATTGAACTTAAAAGCACCCAATGAGCTGGGAGTGGTGGTGCACGCTGCACACCCTGGGAGTCTGAGGCAGGAGGATCATAAGTTTGAGCCCTACCTGGGCAACTTAACAAGGAGATACTGTTTCAGAGACAAAGAAGACCCGGGGATGTAGTCACTGTGGAGGTCCTGGGTCCCCTCAGTACTCAGAAAAAAAAGGCCACATGTATGAGAGATGTAGAGAAATAATGAGTTGTTACTGTTTACTTTTTAAAGATGATTCCTTGGATTATAATCTGAGATTGAAGAAACCCAGTAGTACTGATGACATAGACTTAATAGCTCTAAGTCCTTAGTCTTATAAAACACTTGGGTAGAATTTTTCCTTCCTAAAGATTTTGTTGGGGGGGCTGTAGTACACTAGTGATTCAGTTATATTAATTAAGTAATTAAGCTAATATGGTTAATCTTTAAGTTATGTTAAAAAGTATTAATTTGAAATGAAAATTATATTTATGAGTTTTATAACCAGTTCATTTAAAAAATAAATAGATATTTAAAATGTTTTGTGGTGGTTTAATTTTTTTAGTAGGGTTAGGCTGGATTATGCTACATTTCATACTTTTCACTGCTGTGCTTATATTACTTTTCAGTACATTAAAACTTATGCAGTGAAACTGAATAATGGCAATGTTTTTATACCCTTTTATAGCCATTTCTTTATCATAACCTCCCCCTATTCCCTGTTACCTAAACTATAAGCACCTTTCTGTTAATTTATGAAAATTATTATTGAGATGGCACATTATCACTGATCTGTATGGCACTTGCAGCATGTTCAAAGCAAAGGTCCAAGCAACATAAAACACATCAAAATTCATTAATGTGGTATTGATTATTTTTTGGATAATTAATTTTATTGCAGATCCTTGAAAGAGATAATGAGCTGCAAAGGGAGAAGGTAAGAGAAAATAAAGAAAAGTTCCTTAATCTTCAAAATGAGCATGAGAAAGCACTAGGAACTTGCAAGAGACATATAGTTTTATTACATTGTAAAGTATTAAAATGCTTTAAGTAGCTGGAGACATTTTAAATAGCTATTAAATGCTAAGAAAATATTGCAGAAATAATGCAAAAATAAAGTCAGGCATATTTCGTTCTTTCACTTGTATTTCCAAAAAATCAGTGCTTTTTAAAAGTTAAATTTAATAAAAATTTTTGTAATGTTTTCATGCTTTGGAGATCATACATACACGTTTGTGTATTTATATGTGCATATATGAATGTATGTTGGATCACTCCATATGTGACAAAGAAGAACTAATTTACTTTTTCATAAAACTGTTGCACTGTATTTCAGTAAATGATGTTAGCTGACCAGTTTGCTTTCCTCAGCAGTCTTGCTGGGTTGTGTGAGAGCCATGTTTAGAACACATATGCAGAGGCGGGGTTCTGCTGTAGTAGCATTTTATCATGAGTTGATATGTTGTAAACATAGCTATTTCCTTAAACCACATTTGTTCATTTTATTTTGAATTTTAATTTCAGTGATGTAAATAAAATAATGTAGAATGATGTAAACTTGAATTGTGAGATACAAACATTCACTTTAAAGAAATTGATTATTCTAGTATCAGTTACATTGCACTCAAAAAAAGAAATAGAAACAATAGAAAGTAACTACTTATGAAGAGATATTGTAGAACTATATGATTATATTTTAGGCTATTATACGAATTATGCCATATGATATGTCATTACACTGGTATGTAGCCAAATGTTATTTACAGTTCAGAGGAGAAAAGTTTTCATGTATGATCTTGATAAACTTCACTCAAGTATATGAAAAATATTTTGTATTTAGTTCGATCAGAATGCTAAAACATGCTGCCTAATTGCTGTGGTAAAATGTGTCATTAAGCAACAGGCGTAGTAAGGTCAGGTAACCAACACTGCATCCCAGTCCTTCCTTCTCATCCCCAGTGTTTAAGGCCACGGGAATGGCTCTCATCAGGGGCAGGACTATGGAGTGAAAAGGAGATGCCAGTTTAAAATGCCGGATAGCCACACACACATACAAGATCAGCTGAGCAAAGAAAGCAGATATTCATTTTCTTGTGGAGACTATAAGAACAGCCTTCTCCCAAGAAAACAACTTGACTGAATTCAGAAAATAGGCAGTTATGCAGGTGGCGAGGCTATAATCTCTAAGTCTGGGTAAATCTATAATCATTTCACTTTCATAATGTTTCAGTACTACATGGAAGATGGTTCAGTAAGGAAAAGCTGCTTTAGTTCTGTAAGAATTTTCTTGGATGGGAGTTAAGATCAGTGAACCCTTTAGTTCTGTCTCTGTTTTTTTTTTTTTGTTTGTTTTTTTTACCGTTTTTGAGTGAAGGACAGTTCAGTCACAGTATAACTACTGAGATTGGATCAAAATGGGCTTAAAAATAATAAAGATACTGGCAAAAATAAGCTGGAATCTTATAACTGCTGTTTATATTAGGTCATTCAAGAAAATACTATGCTAATAAAACTAGGTGTGTATTATCAGATAATATACTTAAATCCATTGAGTTTCTTAGAGAATTATGTGTATCTTTTAATTTTGATTTTTAAATTTTGATTAGTTAGATAATCCTTGGGTATACATTATAGGCATACAAATGAAAAGACTATAAATGCTATAAATGATATTCAGAAATTGGGGAAAAGGAAATCACAAAAGAAATTTACTTCATAACCCTAATTGAGCATATGCTGTATCAGACATTAGCCTAGGTACTGAATTTCCAAAGATGCCTAAAATGCAGAGATAACCAGAGAGTTCACACTCTGAAGGAGTACAGATAAGTACAGAATTAACTTCAACAGTGTGGGATGGTTTTTAATATTACTAACAAAGTACTATGAAAGTGCAAAATGATGCTGTTTAGAGCTAGGTTAGCATTTTAGAACAAAATGTGACACAAATTTGGTCAGAAAAGACCAAAGATAGCTTCTCCCTTCCCATTTCATCCTGCTGGCATTGTGGTTCTTTTGGATTGATTTTGTTTGGGTTTGTTTGTTTGGATTGATTTTTAATGGGAAATGTGGAGGCCCAGAACTACATTTTCAAGGTGATGACTAGTCTGCTCTAAATTAAAAAAAAAAGAGCATGTGGAATGTGGGACTGAAAAATAGACTGAGATTAGCTTTTGAAGGGTCTACTACTAAGACTGTTGCATTTTTTAGGTGTTGAGAAGGCACTGAGGATTTAAAAGCAGTGACAGGAGACAGGTAGTTCTGTGTTTTTTTTTTAAAAATAACTTTTGGACAGTGTGGAGGATGGGTTTATGGAAAGAGACCTGTGAGAATGTGCCTGTGAGAATGTGATTAGGGCAGGAGGAGGGACCAGGGAAGAGGGCAGATGCAAGAAGCCTCTGGGAGTAGAACCAGCAAGGTTGGTGACAGTTTCCATACAGTTGGTATTGGAAGGTGAAAGCGTCTGATATGACCGAGATCAGTGTGACTCAGAGGAGAATGTCATTAACTGACACGAAGACTGTAAGAGAGAAGCAGATTTGATGGATGCAAATTATTAGTTTGAGAACTGTTGAATTTATGATTCCTGCCGGACGTCTAGCTTGAGATGCACACCATGCATTTGGAACTGTGAATCTCATCTTAGGAGAGAGGTTAGGGAGGAGATACAGTTTTAGGATTTGTTAGCATAAAGGTGAAATTTGAAGTTAAAGAAATGGGATCATCTCTAGAGGAGTGGAGGACTTGAAGAAGGCCGAAGAGGGCTAACACTGGGGGGCTGGCACCACTGTGAGGGGTGCTCACATGGGCTTCTGTGGGCCAGGAGCAGGAGGAGCCTGGTGAAAGAGCTGGAGGTTTGGGTGGATAAACAGGGGAGCCAAAGAGCAGGCCTCTCTGGATCCTGAGTCAAGGGCAGCAGAGCTGCCAAGCAGCGGGAGGCCTGGAAGAGCCACTGCACTGATTGGCAGGTGATAGTTAAGGAAAGAGCACGGCACCACGGGCACTGCCAGGTTGTCGTGAAGTGGTGCAAGCCCTGTCTCACAGGGTGAGAGTAACTGGGTCAGGAGGAGAAGGGACACAAGAAGGGGTATTAGTGTGCCGAAGAGGACACACTGGTGTGATTTACAGTGTGAACTGGCAGAGAAGAAGAGAAAATAAAGCTGAGACTGCAGGGAGAGGACGGGGTACAGAACGCAGCGAGAGTGGGCCGAGGAGAGGAAGTACCGCATCTCGAGACAGGGATGACCGGTATGTGGGGTTTACACCTGCCTGGGTGAGGGATGCTACACACATATGTGAGACTAATGAGTTTTAAATGCTACACACATATGTGAGACTAAAGAGTTTTAAATGTTTAAAAGAACATCATAATCCTCCGTGATCAAAGGATAGGTTTCCTCAGGGGAACTTGTCTCATATAGAAGGTCTCTGTGCCTGAGTAACCCCCAACAAAAAAAATCCTGAAATTTCCTAGTCAGTGAAAGTTCCATGTATAGATCTAGAGGTCAGGCTAAAGTGTCAGTTTCTGCTGTACCACGTAGTGCTTGGTACTTTTCACCACCTCGAGTTACAATCTGTAGATCCGGTTCACAGCAATAGAAAAGGAAGGCATAACTTTTATAGAACTTCTATGGCTAGAGTGAAGAGGGAAGACACAGGCTGGATGTGGATGGCACCAATTAATAGGCTTGCAGCCTGGATGGAAAAAAAAAAGAGAAAGAAGACGGAAGGCTCATATTTTCTGCCTGTCATGCCCTTGACTGTTTCTTCTTTATGATCCCCTCCACCATGCCACTCTGCCTTGGAGCCAGCCTGTTGACTGAAATCTCTACAAACCATGGGCTACAATAAAACTTTCCTCCTTTAACTTTGGGTGTTGGGTATCCTGTCTCAGCAACGAAAATAGTAACTAAGAATTTGGTGCTAGAGAAGTGGGGTTGTTGCTGTGATGCTACCTGGTCATGTGGTTCAGAAGCCTTTAGAACTGGTTTGCAGGAGATGTTTGGAATGGTTTGGAGATGCTGGCTGAGGAAGCAGCCCGGGAATGCTGCAGACTGAATTTGATGGGAGATTCACGTCAGAGGTCAGAAGACCAGAATGCTGACAGAAATGCAGCCAGTAAAGACTAGGCTCAGGAGGTTTCAGTTAGGAAGAAGGACTACATCGGCTATTGGACTCCAGATTATGTGTGTTCTGTTTTGGCAGAAAAATTGTTTGCATTTTGCCCATGTCCAGGGACTTTGCCTAACAATGAGATTGAGGGTAGTAGACTAATTAAGCTGGTGGAAGAAATTTTAAGGCAGTGTAATACTGAGGTGGTGGCATGGCTGCTGTTGGGGGCTTTTAGCCAGATTTATGTTGAGAATCAAGCACAAAGAGCCCAGAAGAATTATTTAAAACATTTTGAGTTTGGCCAGAAAGGAAGCTCTGGTAAAGTTACAGGCTGCAAAGGAGGAGTAGAAAAGAACTTGGTTGCTAAGAAGGAACCAGAGAATTGAAAAGATAGCTGAAGACAATACAAAAACCAGTAGGACTCCACCCTTCACAGCCTCAAAATTGCAAAATTGCTTTGAGAAGACAGCCCCAGAGCCCCATGTTCCAGAAGGGCTTGGCCTAGAACAGTTGTTGCTCTGGTCTGGGCTCAGAGTACTCAGCAATCCAGGCATGTCATGATCCCTACAGCCAAGAGAGGAGGAAGCCTGGCTACTGCTCCAGCTGGCAGAAAACCTTGGCGTCATCCACATGGTACTGGTTAGGCACATACAGAATGCAAGAGTTGTGGAGTCAGGAAGGATTCCATCCAGATTTCAGAAGGCCTGGGAGGCCAGGTAGGGCGCCCCTGAGAGGGCAGCGTGTGAAGCTGTGAGTGTGAAGCCAAAGGTGCAGTGGAGACCCCAGAAGATCGGAGAAGCCAGGAATGTGTGTCTTCTGAGGAAAGCTACAAGAAGTGAGCAAAGCTGGCTCACGGGAAAAGCCATTGCCAGCTGCTAATGGTACTACAGGAACAGAGCCACCCAAGCCCTTGGGAGTTCACATCCTGACAGATTATCCCAGATGTTGGACATGCAACTATGGGATTTAATGTTTTCCTTGCTGGATTTTGGACTTGCTTTAGTTCTTTTCCTTTTTATCCCCCTCTTTGTACCTTTTGGAATAGGAATGTTTATCTTGTGCCATTGTATGTTTCTTCATTTGTACAGGGGCTCACAGCTAAGAGTTTACCTTAAATCTCAGAGCAGACTTTCAACTTGGACTTTTCAGCAATGCTGAAACTGTTAGGACTTTGCAACTCTTAGAGATGGAATAAATGCCTTTTGCATATTAGAAATGTTTTTTTAAAAATTTTATAACTAGAATGCTTAAATTTTCATTTATATCACAAGGTATTTTAATGCAGTATTTAGAAATGCAGCCCCTAGCTCTGGATTTGAAACTGGCTGCTGTTTTATCTCTGTCTGATCTGGGGCAGGTTACTTAACTTTTGTGAGCATCCCTTTCCTCACCTGTAATTGGGCACAAAATATCTCACAGAATTTTTACAAGTACGCAAGTATATTTAATAAATGCTCAACCCAATTTCATAAATTATATTTTTAAACATTATTTTGTGATTGTACTTATTTTTACTATTTCCCAAAACTTGTGTTAATGTTTTCAGACAAAACATACTTATATATTTGCTTATTTTGGTTAAATGTTGTATTAGGTTGAAGAACTTAATAGAGAAATTAATGAGATTAGAGATGAATTTTCATCCCTTAAAGAAACTCATATTAAGTTACGAGAACAACACAACAAAGTATGCAGTCAGAAAAAGCTTGAAGAAGACGAAAAATTTCAGGTAAAATTCAAGATTGTTGGGGAGTACAAACTGTTAAGCTAGGATATCACTGATGTTTTTTCTGTTTTATATTTTTAGTTTCTTAACTTTAAAAAATGAGAATAAGCATGTAATCTATAATACATTTGAGGTAACTTTTGTGTGTTGTATGCCATAGGATCAAAAGTCTTTTCGGATATGGATTTTCATTTGTCTCAGGACACATTTGTTGTAAAGACTATTGTTTCTCCTATTTATACCTTGGTACTTTCTTGGAAATTAGTTGACCATACTTCTGGACTCATTATGTTCCATTGATTATATGTCTGTATTTGAGCCAATACCACATTGTCTTTAGTAGTGTTAACTTTTTAAGAAGTTTTAAAATGTAGTATAAAATCTTTCTGAGTTCTTCTGGGTCCTTTAGAGTTTCATATCACTTTTAGAATCATTTTGTTGATTTCTAAAAAAAAAAAGTCTGAAATTTTTACTGTGCTGTTAAATCTCTAGATTTGTAAAAAACTGGTATCTTAACAATGTTTAATCTTTGAGTCTATGAACACAATGTAGGTTTCCATTTGGAGGGGAAATTTAAAAAATATCTCAGAAATGCTTTGTAGTTTTCATTGTATAGGTCTTGCAAATGCTTGGTTGGTTTTATTTCTGAGTATTTCATGTTAGGGCCCCTGGTGTATAATTTGGTTTTGCTTGTTGCTGGGGACTGAGACCAGGCCTCATGCGTCCTAAGCATGCCTCTACCACTGGCATTCCTCCCACCCCCAGCCTTCTGTAAACAGTATTTTTAAATTCTATTTTTCGAACTGTTACTTGCTAATATATAAAAGTAAAATTGATTTTTGTATACTGACCTCATTGTAAAAATTATTGCAGACATTCTGAATAGTCTGAATTTTGTTTTTCTTGTTCTTGATTACTGCATGAGCTAGGACCCCTGGCGTGATGGTGAGTGAAAGGTGTGAGAAGGAGGTGCTTGCTTTGATTCTTACTTTAAGTGGCAGGTATTTTATCTCTCATCATTCTGAGCTGTTACCTGTTGGTTCTTGTTTAGATTTCTTATCAGGTTGGGATAGTTTCCTTCTATTTCTGGTACGCTGGGTTTTTATCATGAATGGGCATTAAATTTTGTCAAATGATTTTTCTGTATCTATTGAGATGATCAAATTTTTAAAAATTATTACTAATTGACTTCCAAATTACATTGACTTTCCAAGGTTAAAATAACCTATTTTCTTGGGATAAACTCCAGGTGGTCATAAGGCATTATCCTTTTACTACATGGTTGGCTTTGAATTTCTAATGCTTTGTTAGAGTTAGCATGGATAAACAGTTCTGATCTATAGGTTTTATTTATTTTTCCTTTGTATTATGTGTCTGTTTTATATCATGAGTACTAAAGGCCACCTCATAAACTGAGTTGGAATATGTTCTTGCTCCTGTATTTCTTGGAAAAGTTTGTACAGAATTGGTGTTATTTCTTTATTAAATGTTAGGTAAAACTCACCAGTGAAGCTGTCTGGGCTTTATATTGGTGGGAGTATTTTAAATTAAAAATTCACTATTTAAATAACTATCAAGATTCTGAATTTCTTGTGTTGGAATATAGAAAAATCCATAAAATAGGCCAGTGAATGGCCTGCTTGTAAGGTTGGCCCTGGCTCCTGCCTGAAGACTTGGATTTGGGGCAGGCTCTCACCATTTCTTGACAGTGATGGTTCACGGTGTGCATAGGGTTAGTACCAAAGACAGGGTCTTTTCTGGATGTCTGTTTTCTTCCTGAAGTCTGGGGTGTGCCAGGGAGAGGAAGCGCATTTGTGACCAGCCTGGGCAGCAAGTCTCTCATGAGCTTCCCCGGTGGACCGCATTTCTGGGTGTTGATACACTTCAGTGCGGCAGTCAAGTGTGTCCTGTGGACTTCACTAAGAGATGACTCCGGCATGCTCGAAACTGGTTCCCTCCACCTATACCTCAGGTCTTTGCCTATTTTACTTTTGTCTTTTTGTTGTAATACCTTGTGGGCTTGAGTTTGACTATAGATGGTCATGGCGCCTTCCTGGTGTGTCCTTGTGAAAAATAAGTAGAAATGTCCTCTTTGAGTTCTAAACATTGCCTAGGGCTGGTTCTGGGCAGGGAGGTTGAAGCTCTCATCCTCTCTTTACACTGCAGTGGGAATGACTGACCTTTCCAGTCAGGTCATGGGAACCATTCATTGTTTAACCCTTCAGTGACTTCCCGGTGTCCTCCTGGCGGGACTGAAATTCCTTAGCATGTTATATTGAGACCTTTGTGACCTTGGCCCAGCATACCCCGAGCTGCCTTCATTCCTCCCCATCCCCTCCGTGCACCTAAGCTGCAGCCACATGAAATCACACCTAGTTCTATGAGCAGATGGCCATCTTTCTTCTCTCAAGCATCGGTAGTCTGTTCTCCGCGGACATTACCTGTGACTCCATGCTGCTGTTTAGCCCCATCTTCTCTGAAAAGCCTGTCTTTGACTCCTGAAGGCAGTATATAGACTGTCCCTCTCCTTCCCTGAGCAGAGCTTTGCCTCTGTTTCTGTTGTTTCTCTTCATAGCTGCATGTCAGTCTGTACGTTTCTGGAGGGCAAGGACTGCACTGTTTATCTGGGGTCCTAAAGCCTTGTTCAGTGCCATGTGTGACCTGTGCTCAGGGTTCAGGGGGAGAGAGGATGTGGAGCTGACTGCCGCTTAAAGATACATAAAACATCACTTGGTATAAATCCTTCGTCTACCCTCACCCACCACCGAAACTGGTTTGCCTGCTTGCTGCTGAGAGGGAGCTGTTCTGTTACATCAGTAACATGTGGCATGATGTGGCACGTTTGAGCACAAAGAATGGTGCCCACTTTAATTACGGAAGACTGGATAAAGTGAACTTAAGTCATTTGGTTTTCAAACATTGCTGAATGGTTGAATGGAATACAGATTCCACTTTTCATTAGCAAATTTTGCTTAAATGTTTTGTACTTTTTAAGACTCTACATTAAAAGTATCTCTTACATTTTACCCTAGAATGTTCCAGAAATAAATAATGAAAACCATGAAATAACTGAAAACTCAGGAAAGGCCACCATACAGAAATTTAATTCTGGGATAGAAGGAAAGGAAGAAAACACTAAGGGTTTTTGTTCTGATACTGAATACACAGAAAAGGACGGAATGAAACAAAGTCTGCCTACAGAAGTCATTGTGGAAGGTAATCTGAAAGGTATTTTCTAGTTGTGTAGGGGTTTTCTCTCACCAAAGGGATCTGCCAGAGCACCACATGGTCTTTTACAGAATTTAGAGGAGTGTCAACTGCAGGCTTTGCTCTGAGGACTTGGAGCACAGCTGGAAATACCTTTTCACTTGTACACAGCAGCAGCATGCACTTCCTCAAGTTGACCTTTAACAGTCAATATTTACAACCAGTATTTTGGGGAAAAGGTACATTTTTGCCTAGCCTTCTATTTTTTCATCCCTGGGCTTTTTGAATTCTGGTTTCTGCCCTCATTCCTCTGTTCAGCAGTGGCCTTCTGGAGACCAGAATAGAGCACTCTTCTTAACCCAGAAATGATCCTCTGTAACCATTGGGATGATTTACTAACTCTTCCATCTTGAAAGAGTGGCTGGAGATAGCACTTAGTGACGGTGCTCAAACCCAGGATGAAACAGCCACTTGGTGGAGATGTTGCAGAGAGAATGACTGGACTAAAAAACCCTTTGAGGCTTGACATTTGTATTGAGATTATTTTAACTATACTTAAGATTTGGTATCTACTGCTAGAACACAGATGAATAAAATTAATGTCTTGCCCCAAACTATTCCAGAACTTGAAAATATTTAATAAATAATTTAAAATATTTATGGCACTGAATATAAAAGTGCTGTTGTTAGACTTAAAAGTTAACTTCTGAATATTACTGGACCTAGGTAGTAATAAAAATTAGTGTAACCTGCTGGAATTGTTATCAGCTACATGTTTAAGGGGAAGGTACTGTGTCCAAAAGTAGGCCACTGAATACAGAAATAAAAACTTAAGGTAGAGCTGAATATTTCACATCAAAATATATGCTTGTTTTATGGGGAACTCAATATTTAGGTAAAACTGATGCTATGTTTCTTTAACTGTCTGCTAATAAAATAAAGTTAAATGTTTTTATAAGAAAGGTGATACACCTATGTTCTACAAAATCAGGCATTAGATATAATATTTTACTGTGTTCTTGTGACAGACGTTCAGCATTGTGAGAAAAGCTTTAAGATCAAAACTGATGCAAACAGACCTCAGGATAAAGGCCAGCATGGACTCTACCTAAGCGAGCCCCCCCATCTAGGTAAAGACACAATCAGCCAACAAACTGGGAGTGTTACTGACCCCAGAAAACCTGCTGCTATGGAAACAGAAGACAAGCTGCACTTGGAAAAAGGCAATGGATGCACAGAATTTAAATTACCAAATAATCCATTTTTAGTGGAAGGAACTGAAGGGTCAGGCCCTCACCATGCAGATGTAGGCCTGGAGAGCAAAGATCAGAGACCCTCACCTGACAGCACCGTAAGCGAGACAGCTCACAGCAGAGATCATGACAGAGATGTTTCTGAAAACAAACCATTCGAACAGCAATTCAGATCATGTCTGGGGACAGAGAGGGTAATTACCAACCGAAGCAAAGCCGGCTTGGGTTCATCTCTAGATGCAAAGATGAATCCTGTTCAGTGTGAGAAATACAGTTTACAGGACTCAAGTAATGCCAGCGTAAGTGGTAAACAGTCTAAGACAGAGCAAACACAACTGTCAAATAAAATCAGCGAGTGTAGTATAATGCCTTTTAAACCAACCTCAAGTTTTCAGCAAGTATGGAATGATACTCCCAAGAAGCCTGAACTAGCTCTTCCCTGTGACGCAGTCAACCAACCCATGACACAAGCTGCGTCTGCTGAGAATTCAAAAGTGCTTATGAATTCAGATAATAATATCAGCATTATGCCCATGTTGGTGACACACAACTCCCATCCTGGGGAAAGTACTGTATGGAAAGATATGAAGGATACACAGAACAGCCAATTTAAGAACTGTCTGGGATGTCTAGGAAAGAGTGTGACCACTTCCCCTCTTCAGATTAACAGTGAAAACAGTCAGGCTTCAGCAGACACAGATGTGAAAACTGCTCTTATGAAAACTTCCACAGAAGTACAGTTTTGCAACAAGAGGAAGATCGATGCAAGTCAGATAACTGAAGCCACAAAAAACAACTGCTTCCTTTTTGTGAATGTTAATGAAAGACAGCCTGCATTGTTAAATAATACAGAGAGAACAGAGTCATTAAATGACATCGTTTCAGGAAAAATGTACAGTGAAGGTCAGTGGGTAGAATCACATTCATTCCACATAAAGCCATCTGGAGATTTAGTAAAGAGAAGTGGAAGGGCATCCTTTGATCTTCCTACTTCAGATAGAAAAGCTGAGAAAATGCCAGCATACATCAATTTTCTAGACCCTGGTCCTTGGCCAAAAGTAAATCAAACTGCAGGTCAAACAGTGAGCACTTCAACTTCTAGCACTGCTTTGCTGCTGAGAGAGAGACCAGCAAGTCTGTCGGAAAACACAAAGACCATTTCGGTGGCTCTCTGTAAAAATGCTGGTGTGGATGTCAGAAGGGATGCTGGGCCAGGTAAGAGAACAAGGTTATGTTTTAATGCTTTAAATTTGTTTTACCACTTGTTCTTGATAAAGTCACCAAACAGACTATATTTCAAATGATTTTTTTGGCGGGGGGGCTAAGCCTAAAGCACTGCCTACACATGGGGCTAAGTAAAAGCAGGGAAGATTTTATTAAAGTGGAAGTGGGTTTGTTTTTACCTAAATCTGGGCCAGTATTATCAGTGTGAATAATCACATTTGGAAATTTCTCCCCATCATGGAAGGGCAGCAAAAACAACGGGCCTGGGTCATTAATTTCAAATTGGGAACAAGTAACTGATTTTTTTTTCACTTCTCAGAGTTAATGAATTTCAGCAGTTGGTAAAACTTCTGACAATGTCATGTTTATTCCTTTTCTTCCTATACTCCCAGCATCCTTAGAAACTTTCTTCCCACAGAAATTTTAATTTCTCTCCTGTCACTTTCTTCTCCCAATGCCCTTCCTTTCCCCTCAGTTTTCATCTGTTGCTTTAGCAGCAGCACAAATCCAGCTCACTCTTGGATTTATAAGCAACAGTGAAGGATGACAATATATATCACATTGTATCAACTATATCATAATTGTCACTAAATTGAATGTCTTCGTTTTGCTCTAAAATTCTCCAGAAAAAGAAAGTAACTCAATGAAACATGTACGGAAACACTGAGGGGTGGGGAAGTTGGGTGACAGATATACTCAAGTTCCAATCTCACTCTTGAGTTTTTCAGATTTTTAATAAATACTTAACATACTACATACAAATAGGTGGTCTATAACTAACTGAAGGTAAAAAAGCAGTAAATCAAATCAAATCAAGATACATGACGAGAAAAATGTTTCTTACTGTTGGGTATTAAAAGACATTCTTAAGTTGTAAGGAAACCTGTTGGGTTTAGCAATAGCATTTAGATTCATTAAATATGGATTCCAAGGAGAGACTTCTATGGGACTTTGACTTTTTTTTCATTAGCACATGCTTGTACATGATTACATTTATCATGGGGAGTTTGTGCAAGTACATATCTTAATACTTGTGGGCCTTTAATTCTTATAGGCATCTTTAAAAAGAAAAATTAAAAAAAAATATTCGAGGATCAAAAAATGAATGTTTGCTAGCAACAACTCCATGTAGAGAAAAATAAAGTACCAAAATACTGTATACCTTCCTTTATGTCCCAAACCATAATTTTTAATGTTACTTTGGATTCTATTAATTTTAGGGGCCAGTCTAACATTCAACATTCAGTTTCCTCACAGTCCTTCTAAATTACATTTCAGTGATGTAAAAGGACTGATGTCTAAAATTATGACTTATGATACTCTCATTAAATATACATCTTTCAACTATACTATCTGTATAGTTATTTTTTAAAAGTTGTTTTATATATTTATTACAGCCCAAAGACTTCTAAATAGTCCTTTGTTGGGCTTATTATTGCAGCAAATTTCTTCAATGCAGTTTATAAATGTTTAGTTTGTTCAGACTTTTTCCACTAATCTATGTTCATAAAAGTTATATGAATCTTTACATGTGTGGACAATGTAGTAACCTGGGGAATAAAGGTAACATTTTACATGTTGTTTTGAAAGATATTTATGCATCTTACTCCTTTTAATGTGAAATTATAGCTGTGAGCAAGCTTTCAGAGGGCAATAATAAAATCTTATTTTCTGACATGAAATGCCTAAGAGGAAGGCCTAAGAAAACTTAAGATTCAAAGTAAAAAGAAAACAGGGAAAAAAAAATTTTTTTAATACAAAAGCAGAGGATCGCAGACTAGGCTGTCACTAAAATGAGTGCCTAGAGACTAGAATTCAGTCCTTGCCGTTTCCTCTGTCAATCAGATGCCATCGGTATCACCAGAACTGCTGATGCTCCAAGTAACCAGAGCGTGCGTCCAGACCCCGAGAGAACGCCTAGTGAGGAGAGGAACGCAACTGCAAGGACAGTTCATGATTCTTCTTTTCCCACAGAACACGTAAGTCAATTAAAAATACTGCAGAGCAGACCTCGGTGAGCTAATTCTGCAGATATGTGTAGAACTGTGTGCATCTGGAGGCTTTAAGACCTAACTGATCTCCAGAAGAATATCAAGAGGGCAATGTGGCACCATTTTTCACAATTAAGGTTGATAGAAAACAGCAGGGAAAAGTCACAGTGTATAAATCAAATAGATATAATCCAGCCTGTTTGGAAAATGAGAGGATGAGGCATTGCACTGTGTACTTCTAGTCACCTAAATTTAGAAATGGTGGCATTTGAGCATTCAGAACTTCATATTAAGCTGATGCTTAAAAAGAAGCTCAAGTCTTGTTTTTAATAATGTCTAGTTTATGAAAAGAGAAGAAAATAATGTCTAGGTTATGACTTTTGGATAGTGAGATGGAAGTAATTACTGAAAATGTTAGAATACCATGTACGAAAGCACAGCTATCCACACACTGTGGTATTAAGCAAAGTATCTGTAGAGAGCACATGGGTCCCAGGAGGCTATTTGTCATATGAAAAGCAACTAGCTACAGATAACAGGTTATTTGTTAAATGTGTAAGTTTTATATCATATATCAGAAGTTTAGCAAGAATAAATCTGTACTACTCAGTCCTGAAGGAAGAAAACAAACTGTAACTGATGGAAGGTGACCTCAAGATGAGGAAGGGCTACTTCTTACACTGCACGGTGAGACCCTGAAGCTACCTGGTACACTTCAGCAGCACATTAAACAGCTTTCCTGTTAGCACATTCAAAATGAAAATGACAGTACTACTTATTAACCAACAGCTTTTGGTTTTGAGGTGAGGAGCTCTTCCCCTGGGAGTTAAGAGCACCATCCCCACCTGCCTGTGTTGCATCTCATTCACGGGGCTCTGCTGCACCGTCCCTAGCCTGGCGCTGGGGAGCAGCACTGGGCCCTGGGCACGGCCAGCTGTGTCAGTAGGACTGGAAGCAAAAAGGGTGCTTGGGAGCATCAAAACCACACCCACCCACTGCTCATCAGGCTGAATACTTTCTTTTGGTGAAAGCTAAGACTTTACCTTTGTAGAATTTAACTTTTTGAAAAAAATATTCCCACCGCATCCTTTAAAGTGTTTTTTCCATTTTGCCGATGAATAAATAGACACACAAATATGAGATCATTTTCCAGAGTCAATGAGACATCATCTGCAGTAGACCCAGGCTAGACCTCTTGGCTCTGGGTCAAAAATATTATGCTTTCTCAAAGTTCCTGATACAGAAAGTTTCCATACTGGTGTGCGTAAAACAAGCGCCATTCCCTGGCTGGCTGGACATTTTCTAAATGCTTATTATTATATACTAAGCACCATTATCCCAGCCTAAGCTTAATTATGAAGTACCATGTAATGTGAGACAAATTCTAAAGTACACGTTGACAAATTTCTATTAGGGCAAAGCCACACCATGTACTGTCTGCTTGTGCAATGCAGGAAGAGAATACGCAGTTAGGAGAGACCATCTCTCAGCTTACAAAGCCAAAAAATATAACTGGCAGAAAAAGTCTACCACCTATTCTACATGGAGACAAATGAATTTTATGAAGACTTACAGCCAGAAAAGGATCAGAAGGGTTTGTTTCTCAAACTATTTTATGCACTCTGCACCAATTATGTTAGACTCAAAGCAGTCAATTAGACAGCATTCCACTTTCTCCCTGTGGGTGCAAAGCAACCTGAAAGCTGGTACAGCTTTTATTCTTGTTCTTGGAAATAGGTCAGTAGCCTGCTGCAATCTTGATTACATACAGAAGTGAGGGCTTAAGCTGAGATATTTATTTTACACATCCAATCCCAGGCTGAAAAAGGACTAGTAGACCATGCTAAGGGAAATGTTATGTGGAAGAGGTAAAGAAAAGTTCTAAAAATCCACAGGAAGGGAAAGCACAAAGATAGGTGCTAACATATCTGACCACAGCTGGAACCACAACCACTCCAGAAGCCCCAGTCACACGAGAGAGATCTGGTCTACGCAGACCTCAGCTCCTCTACACTGCATCTTGTTTCTCCACATCCAAGCCTGGCTCTGCTCCCTCCCACTGAGTGGGCTGCTAAGGAGACAAACTAAAGCATCAAGATAAACACAAGAATCAGAATGTTTGGAAGTTATTAATTTGTGCTTGGAAAACAGGACCATCAAACAAAAATTTATAAATAAGTGGCCCTGGATGACTTTTAATGCAATCTGTATCATGTTCAATATTTCTAAAATAAACATTTCCATTACAACCAAAAATAAAAACACAGTAGGAGTTAAGGTTTAGTATTCCTTCTCAAGTAGTTTACCTGTGAATCTAAAGACGATCAAACATTTCTTCCATGAAATCATCTTAAATTTACTTTTGATAAGATAAATTAGAAATAACAAACATTCAATAGGAAGAGATGGTCAAATATCACACACCCATAAAAGGGATATTCTACAACCATTCACAACTTTTGATAAAAAACGTGAAGACTTAGGAAACTGCTCACAGAGGAAAGGCAAGATATAAGATACTATGGAATAATGCAATATGCTAAAAATAGATTAGCAGCGAACAATACCAATGACAGGCTTGTCTGGCTAGTAGATTACTAAAGATTTTTAGTTTATATTCTTTTATTTTCTAAATTTCCAGTAAGTATTTAAAATCAGAAAAAAAACTTAAAATAAAAAAAGTTACATTTTGAAAACAGCCAGGGATTTGGCTCAGTGGTTCCACTGCCTGCTTTGCAAGTGCCAAAAAAAAAAAAAAAAAAAAAGCACATTTTGAAAACAGATTATATATATTTTTTAAAAATGGGACTCAGTGTAGTGCTTTGGAAACATGCCAACTTCCAAATACCTCACTACTCTTTCCTGTTTCTTCAACACTGGCGCTGAGGCATGAGAGGAAACATGAAGTAAAAAGCAGTTTTTATAGTTCACTTCCGTTTGATTTTTTAGTTTTCTCCTTCCTTTGACAGAAGATACAAAACAGACGTGTTTGGGAAGGGAAGGGAAGGGTGTAGAAGACAATACTGATTTTTATCTGCAAGCTCAGTACCCCGTAGAGGACAAATGTGGTCCCCTGGAATATATTAGGTTATCAAGAGCCAATACATAAGCCTACAGATTCACACTGAATAGTTTTCTGGTGCCAGAATTACTCAAGTAATTGTTATAAATCAGCCAGGAAGATGCTGGCTTTACCATATGCTTGTCATGGCAGAGGCTGACCAGACTGTCTTTAAAGTCATCTGTACACTTATCTCAATAGTGAAACAAATCCATCTTTCCTAGGTGAAAGCAGAGCCTCGGGTTCCCACTGTGCTACGTAGTCATTTTCAGGCCATCCAGATTGAAAATCCTCCTAATCTGGCTGCCACTTCTCACGAAGACGGGCAGAGCCTTGTGACAGACCAAGTTGCTGAAATTGAAAAGTACCCAAGCTTAGAAAATGACAACCAGGCTAAAATAAGAAAAGTGGAAGAGATGCTGGGAAAAACAACAGATTGACTGACAAATGCGGTGAAATGATGTAACCAACGCTGACGTCATTCTCACTAGAAAGAAGCAGCTGTTGCATCTGACTCCAGCCTCTCCTGTGGGGGAAGGTATTCCGGATCTGCACAGGTCAGGTGACAGCTATCTTGGACTTGGGGTTTACTGTTCCAGTGAGTTCCCCTTAATATCTTGTCAGAGAATATGCTTCCTTCAAAGCATGCACGGAGCAGAACTTAGGTACTGTTCAGGACAGAGTGACCCTTTCCTCTGGAGCTTCTGATTCTACTTTTAACTATGAGACAATGAATCCCAGATCAGTTTTTAGTTTGTAACATTTTACTATGATTAAGATTTATTTTCCCCCAAAGGATCAAAATTATATTTGTAAAAATTCAGGTATCAGAAAGACTCAAAAGGCTGTTTTTCACTTTGTTCAAGTTTTGTTTCCAGGCATTAAGTGTGTCATACAGTTGCTGCCACTGCTGTTTTCCAAATGTCCGGTGTGTGCTATGACTAAAAATTGAAAAATTAAAAACAAGTATTAGTCAACCTTTTATCTTCTGGTATTCTGCTTATAGTACTACACACTTGAATTTAGATAAGAGCAAAGTTAAATACATATAAAAAAAAAGAATTTAAGAATTAATGCTGTTTTTAAAAGAATCTTTACCATATCAATCAAAACCTTCTATTCTCCTAACCAACTCTATAAAGTAGACACAAAAGTCATTAGTATTCTAGCCAGTGCTCAGCCATTAAATGAAATGTGCTGGAAAATAGGACTCTTTCATTAAATAAGCTAATCACATTCAGTCTGAACTTTAATAAAATTATGATAAATAGCAATTATTTAACTATAGTCAACTCGAAAGAACACCAACCTCGGCTCTCTAAACATTTAAGTGAAAAAAAAAACACATCAAACTAAAACTGTCCTACAAAATGCTGCAAAGTATTAAATGTCTTACCTGACAACTACTTTTCTCTGGGTCTGATCAATTTTGCAGTAGACCATTTTAGTCCTTACAGCTGAAAAAAGATTTTTTATATGATATGTTATATAAGAAATGTATAAGAAACACAGCTGAGGTGTGGCCACATGACCACAATAACTTTATATTCTTTCCAACATGTTTTACAAACCAGCTCTTTGAATCCAGTCAGAAAAGGTGAACAAGCTGACACAGCCAAGAGGAATACACATTTGTCCTGTGGCTGCTGAGCCAACCCACATCGGTCAACACCGGTAGTGCACAGCATCTGCTCCTGTACAATCGTATGGGGGTACAACTCATCTCCTAGTAAGGCCTTCGCTTTTCTACAGGACTCCCAGAGACTTAGAGCATCAAAAGGAAACTGTCAATACTTCCATACAATCCGCTAACTTTTATTGTCCTTGAAGAGGCTGATCAGATTTTCAAACTTGAAAGTTTGGAAAAATGTCCTGATTAACAGATAAAACACTTTATCTTCAATTTATGGGGAAGAAATTCCTGTTTCTGAGCTAATTTGCAGATCACGTGGTAGGTGCCAGGCACAGTGCTTTAACTCACTGACTCCTCATGGGCACAAGTAAACTGCATTCCAGTTATTGAGAGGCCACTCTGAAATACTACACTATTCTGCCTATTCTTTGTCATCTCAGCAGAGAGAATATCAAAACCACATAATTCACACACCACCAAATCTTCACATTACAACTGTGTCTGCCACTCTGCTAAATACAGTCACGTGCCATGTATATTTGCATAAGGTTTAAGACAAAATTCCCCACAGCAAAAATCCTAGAACTGCACAAAAACATTCCAGTTGCCTTACCATCAATAACAAAGGCTTCTACATCATCAGCTCCAATTTGAAGTTCTTGCTGCATTGTATCAAAGGAAATCTCTTTGTTCTCCACTGCCATTCCCATAAAAGTAAGCAGTCTCATTTTTGCCATATTCTGCTCGTGTAACAGGCCTACACAACAGAATGAAGCCTGGTGAGGACCTGAACCAATTCCAGGGCCACACAATTACAACCCAAGTTAAGCTGTGCAAATCACTGGGTTTGAGCACTTACACAGATAGTTTTCAGGAAAATTACGTTTGCTAACCATAAACTGATTCCATAATAAACTAATGAATCATTCTTTGTGGACCTACAGTTCTTTTATTATCAATGCATACTAATTGTATGCAACAGGCTTCACAGTGACATTTTTGTACACCCTATACCCACCTCAAAGCCCTGTATTTCATTACAACAGTGCTGCAAATGTCCCAAGAATGGGCTGTGAAAGACATTTTTAAGTTCTAAAAGTATTTTACATTTTGCATTTTTGTATTTATACATTTCGGGAGATAAAACCCACAAAATATACTTCCTAGTTAAATTGCTCAAGCTTATTTTCACCAACAGCTCTTTATTTAAACACACAGGATTCCTTGCCTATTTAAGCATTGGTTGTGTCGCTATCACTAGTAAATATGAAGCTGTAATTTTTTTGGTACATATTTTTAAAATTTCCATTTCCCTGCTGGTCACTTTGGATTCATAACTTACAAATCAAAACTGCCAAAAAATGTTTCTCACTTAACATATAGGCCAATATGCTCAGGATGAGATAAAAAGTACAACAGGGATACTTGTTTTATAACATAAAGGTAGAAAATTATACAAATAATTCAAATTCTGCACTGTGATTGCTCATGAAACATGACATTACAAATATTCAGACCATGACTGCTGGGCCTAGAAGGAAACTTAGGTCACCTAAGTCCTGACGCTGTTACTTTAAAAAACATAACCAAGGAGCAAACATTAATTGGTTGATCATATCGCCAGCTACAGGCTCACACTATTCCTTGGGCCTAAACAGAGCAGCATTATAACAGAGTATGACAGGTTCTTGTTTTGATGGCAATGTATTTTCATAAAGATGTTTCTAAAACTTACTTATATGTTAACTCTGAGCTTTCAAATTATATAAATCACCAAATGATCAATTATTTGCCTTTTAATAATTCACGGCCTCAAATTTGTATTGTTGAGAAAGTTACCTACGCACTCCATAAATAAATTTGAAATTTTTAACATTCACATCCAGTGGAAGACTAGGGAAGCCCATTAAGATAGGGCATGATCATCTGTTAATTAGCTGTAATCACAATACTGGCTTCCTGTTTGGCACAGATTCAACAAAACATGATCATCATAACTCAAATGAATGAGGTACACAAGGAAGTACTGCTAACTGGGTTTAATGGAAATCTACAAGCAACAAAAAATCAATTAGTGTACATTAACCCTAATTAACAAATGCAAATCAGATGCTGATTAACTTTCTGAAACAGGATAGCAACTGCCTAACACCGGACTACATGTGGACATGTCAGGGCAATTCAACTGACACAGGGTAATGATGCTGTTGGCCTAAGTCATCAGTATTAATAAAAATGTTTTGACAATGGTACCACCTGTGGAATCCAGACATCTGTAACCTGACTTTTAGCTGTAATAAATGTCAACTAATAGAGTGATAACCCAAAATATACACATTCAATAAATGTACCTTTACCAAAGTGTCTTATGCTAACAAACTTCTAATAGAAAATGTTTCATTTGCATATACATTAACAAAACAAAAGCAAATTAGGAAATGATTTCTAGTTGGCAAAATAAATTAGCAATGTTACAAATTTTTCCCATCAGAACAAATTAATGATTCTCAAAAATTCCTTAACATTCCGAGTACGAAGGGCATCCACGGTTTACTTTCAATATGTAAAATGATAGAAACCCCTATAATTACTAAGGCATGATTAATAATATTCTTTAAATATATTTTATTGCTACTCTGTGCAAAATTTAAGTTGGTAATTTACAATCTTACCATAAATGAAAAAATACAGGAGTGAAGATTATTTCTAGAAAAAATTATATAAAATCATTATCTATTCTACACGTGGACACTTGTGTCTGAGAAGCTTAAAATTGTTATCTAAAACCATTCCTAAACAACAGAGATGCAAACTTCCAGCCTTCCACACTCTTGAGAAAGAGCCAGTGAGGTCGGAGCTGGGGCTGGGGCTTTGTTTCATCCAACTAGAACACTACCTTCAAGGAGCCACAGCATGCTGTCCCATATTTCAATTCTAAAGTTATAAAAAATCTAATTTTATGGAAACATTTATTCATTACTAATATGTCAAAGCCTTAATGCAGTAATAAAAAAATGTGCATCATTGAGCAATTTCTGCATTGTCACTGACCCCTGTCTTAAAATGCTGCGATATAGAAAACGCAATTTTAATGCATGCAATAGCTTATGAACCAGTGCTCCTTTGAAACAGTCAATTACACATCAACGGGGGAGTGTCAAAGTGTTAATTACTACTCCTCTTGCCTTGGTGCGTAAATAAAGAGGGTGCTGACATTAACATTCCATCACAGGGCTTCATGCCACAAAGCAAATTAACTGGGACAGAATGTGGTTTTCTGGGTCTAGTGCACCTGGCAAAGCACTGCTCTTGCATCTACTTAATCTTGGTGTATTTCAAATGCCTTGTGTCCGAGTAAGTCAATCTTTCCCAATTCCAATGGCTGCACAAAATTCACGGGTGACAGGAATTAATGATCACCATGCTGAAAACTAAGTATAATCAAGCAGATTATAATTGTACATCTACATCTCAAACAACCTAGAAGACTAACAACTCAATTTTAATGTGAAACATATCATCACCTTCTCATGTATTTATTTTGATTACTGCCTACACAAAGCTCCATACTTTCATAGTTGATTTGCTATTAAAAAACCTGTCGTTTTAGACATTTAAAACTTGTTCAACTGGAGATTTTTCTTAAGTACTCTCTTCGTAATTTTAATAAGTTAAAAACACGCTCCAGAAGAAAATAAAAATACAAAACATGTGGCAATGGTGGCGAACTTATGGCACATCTGCCACAGTGGGGTGTTGGTGTCACTGCAAGCTCTTAAAGGTTTGCCAGTGCTGGTCCACGGGACAAGATTCAGTTTGATCTGGTAATTAGGTACTGAACTCTGATGCATGAAGACAGACTGAAGACACCAAGTGCAGACCCAAAAATTAGATCTCCTGTGATGTCTTCCACAAAGCAGAGTTGGGAGTTTCTGCTATCATGCAAAATCCTAATACATCCTTTTCTAATTAGCAGTGTTATTTCTTTTGTAATTCTTGAACTTCTGGTGATGGGAAGGATCCAAGCATGAGTTACATACTTAATTACAGGAGGAAAAAATGTTTTCTGCTACCATTCTGTAGCTCCCTGGGGGTGGGGGCTGGCTACAAATACAATCACCATACATCCAAAGAATTAAGGTCTTCTACGTAGAGACGATTTTATTTTAAACACCTTTTAGCTTAGCAAAGTGCCTTTAATCATCTCTTCAAGTCAGTGCTCCAAAGCACTATCCTGATGAAAGCAACAGTGATCTTTCCCTCTCTCATCCCAATTTTGAAAGCACAGGCATCCATGGAACTAGTCCTACCTGAATCTCCTCCAGGTACCTGACTCTGGCTAAAACTTAGAATCACGGTATCTGCAGAACTGAAGGGGCCTAAGTGCAACAAGCTCTCATGTAGAGTAAAGAACCAGCTTCCTGGAAAGGTAGTTTCATGCTGTTTTTATAACAAAGGGCATTTTGTATCTTGCTTGGTTTGTGATTCCCCAATGCAATATGGAGAATGAAAATGGCCTGATGCATGCTAGGTCAAGCACTCTACCGCTGAGTGACACTCCCGACCCTGTCATTAAAAAAAAAAAAAAAAGCATTTTGAGATAAGTTCTTGCTATGTTGCCCAGACTGGCCTTGAACTTGAAATCTTCCTGCTTCAGCCTCATAAGAAGCTAGGATTAGAGGTGTATACTACCAACTGTCCAATTAAAATTTGTTGCTGTTATTCTGTCCTAGGCCACTCTGACAGGAATACACAGATAAAGCCACAACCCTATTTGCAGATCTTGCAGTGCATAACTATTGTTAAGGAGCATGTTCCCATTTCTCTGTCCCTCAAAGAATAAACCCAAAACTTACCAAGCGAGTCAATGAAGTCTTTGTTATTCTGGTAAAATTTTACATATGACGCCAACTTAGCACTCACAAAAATGGTTAAAAGCTATACAGATAAGAGACAAAAAGATACTATCAATACAGAATCAAAGATTTATACCAAGATATGTAAGATACTGACAGTAACTGCAGAAATATGTTTCATCGCATCACTGCTCAATTCTTCTACACCATTCACTTTTCATATGAAGTAATTAGTGAACACAGTGAGCTCTAAATTATTTGCACTGAAAGATGGTTGCAAATAACACAGCCCAAATGGAGGATAATCCAAATATTTGATTTGTCATCCTAACAGGGATACTGACATTGTGTAATAAAAATAAATTATGGCAAGGCTAAGTCAGAGGAAGGAGAGGGTGAGAGAGAACAACACTATTCTGAGGCTGGGGACAGCGGGGGCCACAAACTGCTGCTCCTGATATGGAGGTCACTGGTTAATACAAAGGCCAAGGGCAATGCTGCTTCAGCATGAAAGACTCAGGGAGGGATGCTTTCACACCAAAGGACAGCTACTTACATCATGAATAAGCTCGCCTTCCAGAAACTTGACTGGCTTTAAGGTAAGAAGATGGTCAAAAAGAAATGCATTTGGATCTTTCAATGCTCGTACAATGCACCTTTATTGGGAAACAACAAAAAAAAGGCAAGCTTAATGTCTTGAAATCCTTGCATTCTATTGTCTTTTTGTCGGTCACTAAACATATTTAACTCCACAAAGTAAGAGTCCAATATACACACCACTGAAAAGGTACAGGAGGGAGTGTAAACAGGCCAACTGTTTTATCAGGTTTATCTGTTTTAACATTAGGAAATAAAACAGTGAAAGCACCCAGGTACTCAAGGAAGAGCGCCCTGCAGCCACACCTTAGCAGGGCCAGACAGGGGCTCTCAAGGCCTCTCACCTCCTTCATCCCTCACAAACTCCCAGCCCCATGTTATCATCAGGCCCCTGTGTTGCTGCAGCTGCGAACTCGCCTAATACAGTAAATGCTCATTAAAGGATGGGTGCAGTAAACTCTGTGGTAGGCAGTCTAAGCCGAGGTCTACGGCCCTCTCCCTAGCTGCCCACCTCACCATCTCCTAGCATGGACAGGTCCACTGGAGCAATAACCCTGTAAAGAAACTTCATTTAAAAAAAAAAAAAATTCTATTCTTCTGTTCCTAGTTAGATCCGGGACTGCTTTTAAAGCCCTGATTTTCTCCTAAGTAATGGGCCAATTTCTAACAAGTCGCCAAATTTTTCTAGTTTATATACTTCAATGTTAAGATAAATTGATCCAAGATGAGGGTCAAGTTCTCAGGTTGGAACTATTATCCCCAACCATCAACACCCACCAGTGGCCATAGCCATCTATGGTTCTTCAACGCCCAGCACGAAATCTGTGCCTGCATCAGAATTGCCAGGAACACTGAACTGCCTTGGCTCACTGTGGTGACAGACCTGATCTCAGAGCTTTATAACTGAAGACTCTAGCTCACCTCGGAGCTGCTGACGAGCCCTTGGTGGAGAAACGTTCAACCTTACCTGTGCGCATCAACGCGTGCCTGGGAAGCATTGTCCTCTGTGTAACTTCCAAGCAATTCCACCATGACTTTTGAAGCAGCATCACTAAAAAGGAACACTGCGTTAGAAATCTAAATGTTGCTGTCATTCACTCATTAAAAACATACCCTAAACAGCAGATACTGTACTAAGACATATATATGGGTGACAAGGACAGTCTTTTAATTAAAAAAAAAAAAAATCAAGGAACTTTTCCATTTTGTAGGAAAGTCAGACAACTAAGGAAAAACAACTTCATGTAAGTGCTATGAAGGAAATAAGACAATGTAAACAGGGCAGAGAGCAGAGAGAGGCTACTGAGGAGAGGAAGCTGAGACTTGCAGGATGTAAAATAGCCCTTGACACTGTTTTCTAGACCAACTAGAGGTGGGAGGTAGAGGCCAGATGGCTTTCCAGGCAGAGGAAAGACGGTATAAAGGCTCAGGGTGAGAAAAAGGTTTGTGTGTCCCACAAACTGACAACTGAAACCGTATCAAATACTCCCAACAACTCTCCTCCCAAGAGTCTTCCAATTAGAATATCCATAAGAATAAGTAGATGATCAATTATTACTTCCAAGAAAAGGGTAAAATAACTGACTACACTCACTGAACTTTGAGGCTTAGAAAATGTTCACCTTCACTCATCATTACTTCCTTTAAACTTCTTCAGCCAGTTTGAGAGAGCATTACTAAACTGGGGAACACTAGATTTTTTTTCTTCTTTAAAAAAAAAATCACTTTTCACTCTACATCTGTATTTGACCTCCATAAACTTAGTAGGAACTCTAGCATTTATCTTAGAAAGTTAAATGGTACTCCAAAACATCTTTTGAAATTAAATTCTCTATATAAATGTAACTGTAGGTGTGGTAGTTAGCATCTTAAATAGAGTAATGCCACTATAAAAACTCAAAGGAGAACTTTAAGAAAAAACTATGTTGTAATTCATTGTTAATTACCCTGGTCCACCCTGCAAGCACAGGTACATTCATTTTCCAGCTTTAGCAGACACTAAAGTATCAATCTCATAGATCTTATCAGCTAAAGAATCAATTCCACCAAGGCCAGATAAAATAGTCCACTTAAGAGTACACAGTGTGGCATCTGACAAACTAGACGCAGCCTCCTCCAAGCCCCCTGGCCAGGTGGCATTTGTCCACTCGGTCAGTGCCCTTGTCATGCTCTATGCCGTCTCGGGAAGGCGAGGTTGACAAGTCCTCTCCTCCTTCTCTGAGCCTAGCTGGACAGAAGGTGTTAAACGTGACCATAAAAGTACAAACTGCCCTAAAGGGAGGTGTGCAACTTAAAACATCAGACAAATGCTTTAGGCCTCCAGATGTTGAGGGTCTGACATGCTGGACGGGGCCAGAGTCAACCTTGGGCTTTGCAGCCTAGATGAGCTCTGGTGTCAACAACTCAACCCTTGGCAAAGCAGCCAGACCACACATAGACGAAAAGCCCAAGTGTGTACCAGTGAATTTTCAGGGACAGTGAAATTTGGATTTTATATGTCCATATCATAAAATACTCCTCTTCCTTTTGACTTTCTTCTCAACTATTTGAAAGAGTGAGAATCATCCTCAGTGTGTGGCCCGGTTCCAGTCCTCATGGACAGAGCTTGGCTTCTGTGCCTGACACAGGTTGGCCGTGGCTGTGGTGTGATGAGGAAGGGATTGTTGACATCACATTCTGTGTATCCATCACTGTGGTGCACAAAATGTTGAGGGTTTCCATTCACAGTGGCAGGTGCAAGGCCATCCTCCAAAGGTTGCACACGCTCTAGTCCTGAACAAAATGAAGACCTGAAGAACCGCCACCATAGAAGTGACCATGCTGGCTCAAAAAGACATCATCACTGCAGCAGAAATAGCCAGACGTAGCACTTAAGGAACCCAAGGAGAACAGGTGCCAAGGACATGCCGAGATGTCTTGTTAGGAAACAGCTGTGCCACTTATTCAGCAAGACAGAAAAACTCGGAAGGAGAAAGTGACCAACTCATTTGATGATGAGTTTGCGACATGTGGGCTACATTCAAGTGGAAATAGAAGAAATGGGCAACGAGTCTGAAGTTAGGGAGCACAGCCCGTTACAGGTGTGGATCTGCACCCCACAGGTACAGAAGCTCCAAGGAGAAACGTCACGGCCCAGGGGAGGGAACAGAGTCAGCATGATCCCAACGTGTACAGAAGTCAAAATGCCCTACCCAAGAGACTGGGAAAGAACAAGAGTCTCAGGAGGACAAGGGGTCCAGAGTGCCAGCCAGCCAGCCAGACAGCACCTGTTCTCAGCATAAAGGAACCAGTACTCCATGACTGAAAACTCATATGCACGTCAAAACACCAGGAGAAAGTCAAGGCCTGGACTCAGTGTGCTTCGGCTACTGTACGCTGAAGGCTATGGGAAGGCGAGGGCTCCATCCAATTCAAATGACTGCTTCCTCTTGTTGCCATCTCTGGCTCTGGAAGCCCGTTTGCATTTCAGAATAGTCACAGAGATGCCATGTGTCTACCAAGGCCAGGTTCTGTCCCGTGAGCAGTAGAGCAGAGACTCATGACACTCCTACCCTACCGCAGCGCACCACTCAATCCTAAGCATGACACTGTAAGTACAAGCAGAAACAACCCAAGAGGCAAGGTGTGGGTGGGGTCCAGGTATACAGCTGCCCAGGGGGAGGCCCTTCTGAGGTGCCAGCTGAGTGGTTCTGAAGAAGGGGAGCCATGGAACCTTCCAGGAAGAAGAGCTGGTTCCTTGGTGCTGGAGGTGGATCTGCACTTATTCAGAAAGGAGCAGCTAGAAGGTTCCTGACAGAGGGGGAAAATCTCATCTCCCACATTAAACAGAAGTTCCTGGCAGCTGTACTCGTAACAGATGGTATAGGGACAAGGACCAGAACAGGGACTAATTAAAAGGAGACTTCAAGAACCAAACTAAAAAATGGTGGTGCAGAACACCTGGTAGAAACAGATTAAGTAAGGAATCAGGCTGATTCATTCAGAGTGGACAGGATCTGCTGACAGATTAGATGTGGGATATGAGACAGTGGAGCCAAGGCTGAATCCCAGGTTTTGGACTTGAGCAAGTGAAAGAATGGAAATGGTTACTTCCTAAGTTAGAGAAAAGACAAAACTACAGGCTTAGGAGGAAAAAACACTTCCGCAGGCACCAAGTCTGAGGAGCCTTTTGAACCATCCAATGGAGACGTTCAGTAGGAACAGATAACAGATATGTGGCATGTGAGGGACACACAGAGGTGAAGACCATCTCTATCTCCACAGGATTCTATGGCACAAGAGTGAAAGGGGTCCTGTCTGTCTGGCAGCAGTGCCTTGAGCGGTGCCTGAGCAGGGCAGGAGCAAGGCAAATGCTGTGACTGCCCAGAAGAGCACTGCCGGCTCACGGGAGACCCAGGCTCAGGTGCCAAGTACACGCACCAAGCTCGGCCATCCATCTCCCCTGAAAGCCATGTGGTCCCCGAGCAGAACAGTTCTTGCCTGAGCCAGCCTCATGTTCAGGGTTACAGAAAATGAGAAGGAACCCACAGGGAGGAGCTGAAAGTGGGGGAAGGAGAGACTGACAGCGAGCCGCCTCCAAGCCCAACCGTAGACAGGGTTTTGAGAGAGAAAGACCGTGTGTGCAAAGGCTGCCGAGGAGAAAAACGCAAAGGGTGCAGCAGGGCACACTCCCACAGGTAGTGAACGGAGCCTGTTCTACGAGCACACATTATTCATCTTCTACAACCCTGAGGTAAATACCATTATTACTCCTGCTAAAGTAGGAAAGTAAGGTATAGTTTGAGTGTAGTAATTTATTCAGGGTTATGCCACAAGTGGCAAACCTAAGATTTGAACTCTATGGCCCGCAAACTTATTGTTTGCATTAAAGCACAGACTTTCTCTCAGTTTTAATGACCTCCATTTGAAATGGCCTTTCTATTCCTTGCAGTAGGCACTGACAGCTCACTAGAAATGCCAGGGCTTCAGACTGACTTAAAGGCAAGAGTCCCCTGCTTATCCTCTTCGAAGACAAAGCTTTCCAACTTTCACAACAAAGACATCCACATTTCCTACTTTAGTCTGCAAAGACAATCTATTTAACACAACAAAAACCTAATCTTGCCAACACTCTCTAATATACTAAACACTCTGAAATTAAAAGCCATTATGAAATTCGTGTGAAATGGCTAAACTGAAGACTGGTTACTTCTAAAACCAATTTGAGAAAACAATTTAAAAAACTTGGTCAAAACCTAAGATTATTTTTCATTAAAGAAAAAAACAACAAGTAAAAAAAATTCAGCCAAGCCTATCACTTACAGGTACCCTGAAAGTGGGTGTGTGGAAGAATAGGTATCTTGAGCATAAAGTCTGTGGGGCTGAAAAGAAACCTCAGAAACCCAAGCCCTAGCCAGCACACGACAGATGCCTGCTGGTACCCACTGCTTTGTGTTCAGACCAGGAGTGTGCATTCCTAAAAGGTGGGATACAGTCACCTGACTGACGGATGGGCCTCACCAGCATCCCACAAGGTAATAGCGCATTGCCCACAGCTCAGTCTAATGCAATGTGCAGCTTCAGGATAACAACCATACCTGTTTTAGAACTACAGCTAGTTTTGCTTTTTTAAGACTATTAAGATGAAGGAAAAACATTTTAATCATTGCCATTACCCTTTAATTTAGGAAGGAAAGCTTACAAAAAAATAGATGTATAACTACTGCGGAGGGTGAGGGGGGAACAAGAGTACTGGCCCTACCTGTCCTTAAAAGCCACCCCACCTGTTTACACTTCACAGTAAGCAGCAAGTTTGCCCACTATCTCTGAGTACCTTTTCTTACAATCCACGAGGGCCTCATAAAGTAGTCTTAAAAGCGTGTGTTTCTTCTCAGTGGTGAGATTCCAGTCAGAAATCCATTTTCTAACCTACAATGAGAGTGGCAAAGAGAGAAATGAGTAATATAGGTTGAATGGTAACACAGCATACACGTAGCTTCTGCTCCTTTCCGCTAACCACAATGCGTGTGCAGCAACGCACCTGGTCCAGCTCCGTGGGGACGTACTGGATGGCCCCGCAGGATGCCGCCACTCTAACAAGGCTGCAGTACACTACGTACCTCACTGGGGTGTTCTTATCCATCCCGTGGAAAAGGTTGCTTAGTCTGTTAAGAAAGAGTGAAGCCACACGTTAGATCAGCAACCGTGGTGTGAGGCTGAGGTATCTGCTCTGCACATAACTGTCCTGAGGCAGCACTACTGGTAAGCTCTTATTACACTGCAGGAATCTGCCCACACAGCTCTCAGAGCCACAGCTGGCAGCAAATTCCAGGTGCCCGGCTCTTAGCCCTTCAAAGGGAGTGAATGGAAGGACAGCCTGGAGAGTCAGCCGTGCCAGGGAACTTACAGCTGCAGTCTCAGAGATGGGCGCTCGCCTTCCCGGAACTTGACCAGCTTCTCACACAGGCTTTCAATCAACGCCTCCTGCTTGTCTGGCTCGAGGATCAATAGCAAGGAGACCACACTGTTCATCACACTTTCCACATCTACAGTGGCAACAGCAGCAGTCAGTAGTCCACTACAGCATTTAGTGTATCAACTTGCATATGGGTTCCTGGGATTTTCATTTAACAGCTATCATAAGACACAACACAAGCTGGCCCTTGTGACACAGCCTGACAGATACTTCCCCTTCAGGAGGGCAGCAGAAATGCAGTGTGCACAGACTCAGAAAGCAATGCATGCCTTCCAGAGAGGAAGAAAACTGCCATCTAAGATTTGGTTTCTACCCAGTACAGCAGAGGCGTGATCCTCATGCCTACATACACAGGCTTCCCATTTTTACTGGCATGATGTTAAATTCGGAAGTAACTGGTTAGGTTTTAGACTATGACGTTGTCTCACCTGAGGAAAACTTTGTCCACATGTTCAGGATTATTTAGAAATGAAAGCTGATCATGTTCTGGTTGGCTGGCTTATTTTCAAGTATTAATATACTAATCATACGTCAAGTTTAATCTCTAAGCCTTCTGTAGAGATTTCAGAACTTGCAATCTTAAAAATGTCCCACTTTATCTCAACAAGTGGGGAATCAGAATCAGCCTAATAATTAAATGTTTTTTAGATTACTTGAAATTATCTGTTTGGTACTTATCTAACGCTTACAAATGAGAAGCTTCATCTTTTTTGTGTTCATTTTGAAATTATCAGTATTTAATGTGTATGATAACCTGGAAGAAATTTTTAAAGAGGTTTTCTCAAAATTGGCTTACTACACAGGTTTTAATAAACTAAAAGTACATGCAAAGATTTAAAATAGTGATGAAAGGTCTGACATACAATATAACAAAACTTCATGATTAAGAAATATTACAAAAAAATTAAAAACGAACCCTTATCGTCTTCCTTCAAACACACATCGCAGGCTTCAATAATCTGAGCCAAGTCCACATGAAGCCCACCTTCCGAGTTCTCTTCTGAGATCTCCGCTCCTTTGGATTTCAGGTACGCACGCAGCTCTGCAGCCTGTAGAATCAAAGAGGATTGCTAAACAGTACATCAGTGATGGCGAACCTGGTAGAGCTTTCAATGATACCGACGGCCCCATGTGGCTCTGTGCCACAGGTTCCACCAGCACTGCTACAGATTGACACGTGGACACATACAAACAGACCAGCAACGATAAAACATCCCAAGACATTCTGTCCTCCTTCTGAAAAGACAAAACTTCAGATTATGGTTCCTGGCTCCTCCTGACCTCCAGAAGTCCCAGGGCCCACAGGTACCCTCAGGGGCCACCTTCAGAGTCTTGTTATGTCACCTGCACCTGCTGAAACTTCAGTACATATAACAAAAGCTTTCTAAAACTGGTGTAATCTGAAGCATTTACATGGGGAGATGGGGAAAAGAAATCAGTGTGGTTTGGCAGATTCACTACCCTTACAAAGTGTCGTCGCTCTCCAGGACACACACAAACATGCTACGAGTAGAGCTAAGCTACTACTTGGGAAGCATTTGATCGAGAACCTGTTTGAGGCAAGCATTTTGGGAAACACAAAGATTAAAGCCTATGAATGTTGCCAGCTCTGAACCTACCACTTCATTATACTTTGTATTTTTTTCTTTTTAAGAGCGTGGTACTCATGGTAGCCAAAAATGAGCGCAGGTAGCTAGGATAATGAAATGAAAACTGAAGCAGGCAGATAAAAGGAGACCATTAGTAAACAGGTAGGCAGCCAATTTTCTGGACCACACCCAGAAAAGCCTTGATGGAGGCCATTAAGATTTTCAAACCCACAAAGGTCTGCTACCTCACTAAAGTATATTAAGCCTATGGATTTGACAGTGCTTATTTTTTTCAGAAAACATAGAAATTTCATATGAGCTGGTAGTTTGAATAAGATTTCAAACAATTAACTCTCACCATATCAGAGAGAACAAAAATACCACTGGAAAGAATGCTTCCAAATTACAGAAACAAAGCTGTGTCCCATAAAGAAAAGGTAAACTGTGTGTGGCAGTGTTGCAGGCCTGTAATCCCAGCACTGGGGAGGTCGAGGCAGCAGGAGTGCCTTCTGGAGAGCCCGTCTCTAAATAATTTAAAAGGGCTGGGATGCAGCTTAGTGGGAAAGCCTTGGATTCAACCGCCAGAACCGAGGGAAGAAACCCCAGAAGGCATTTGCGCTTTTTCTGCTTTATTAAGTCCAAAGCAAACTTTTTGAAATGACTCCTCCAGCCTTATTTCTGTCATTCTCACGGGCCAAGTGGCTGCAGAGCAGTACGGGCAAAGAAACACAGGAGTGAAGACCTCCGTGTGTCCACTCGAGTGGAACTGGAGCGTGCTCGAATGCAGACCCTGACCCACGGTATATTCCTGGACAGGATGGCCAGCGTGAGACCCACGTGTCTGAGGAGGAGCACACCCGAGACGCTTTCGTGTACACCCAAGGCCAGGAACTTCTCCGGCCACAAACGCTGTGGGTTTCCCCGTAGCCCGACAGCCAGCGGGCAGGGCAGGGCGGGGC